AGATTAATTTAGATAATTGACAATTTGGAGACAATCACTTAATCTACGAATTTTTAATTAAATGGTCCAAATATTGGCAATATGTAGACCATTACTTAATCTACAAAAGGAGCATAAAATTGAGAAAAAAACGAAAGAAAGAGAGAAAACGAAGATTGATGATGCTGGGTGAGCTTAATGAGCCAGCGAACGCATCCTCTTCCGAGTCCTTTAGATTCCGCGAGACGATCATCGTTCGCGATTGCGCTTCTTCTCGCGGAGAGTCGGGGATTTCCTCTCTCTTTCTTCTTCTTCTTCTTCTTCTCTCTCTCTTTCTGCATCTACTCTCTCGGATAATGTTAATACCTACGCGATGGTACGGTCGGGCACTACTTGGCGCTCGCTCAATCCGCAACACGTTTTTACATTGCTTGCCGGTTGATTGCCCCTCGAGCACGCCGATGATGACGTCAGCATTCTGGATGAGTCACTGTGCACAGCACGAGCTACGTGCGTATCGCGTATGCACGCATAATTTATTCACATTCATGCGCGTATACATGCATACAGCATTGCACAGATATATATATATATATATATATGTATGTATTAAAATAATTATACAAAGGATTAATTATATAACAAATTTATATAATTAATCCTTTGTATAATTAAATATAAAGAAAAATAAATATATATAAACAAATAAATATTATATATAATATTTCAAGGATTATATAGTTTCCTTTTCGCAGTCTCCTGAGAATTTGTACTAGAACATTAGAGATACTGATATCGCATCCTGTCACCGGAGGCGAACTCTGATAGATATACGGCCGCTTTATCGGCCACGTGATTTTTTTATTTACGGCATCAGGGTGGAAGGTACATCTATAACGACCCACTTATTTATATTTTAGAATAAATAGTTTAATCAAGAAAGAGACACAGTTACATATGTAACTTCTGTCATCTTCAGCTAAATATCTTGCATTAATTAATTCAGATAATTATAATTGATTATAACCATTGATTAATTAATTATATACTAACACTTGTATCGCATATAGAGACGAAATATTATCTCACACGGATGTTTTATGATAAATTCATTTACACGTGACAGATTCATGTATTTTTGCACAAATTTTCAGATAGGAAAACGATATCAGTTCATGCGTTACATCCGTAAGTGTATACAACGACAAGGACAAACGTTGTTGATTGCACGTATGCATAATAAATCACCTATTATATAACGTCATGATAGTCTGTGTGCGTGTGTCTTTATATTGCGAATTTAAATCTATACGAGCATTATATTGATATAATATTTCTGTCGAGGTTTTACAACGAGATACATATTTATAGGAAAAAATATCGCATAAAAAATTAAGAGTAGAAAAATAAGATGCGCGTTAGATTTAAAAAAAGATAAGTGCAGTTGATAATCCAATGATAATAATTAATATATGCATGCGTTCTATAATATTTTCTGATTACCGAGAAACGACACGTGTGCAAATTATTACGTCATCATCATATATCAATTGTACGTCAACAATAAATAGTGCAATGTCGTTGATTTTTCGGAGCATTGTGCAAATCGGACTGTGCTATATTTAATTCTGATCACGCATTTTCTTGTTGTCCTTGTTTGTTGTACTCCAATACGAGTTAAAAATATCGTATCAATTTGAGATCAAAATTTAAATTTTTTAATTAAAAATTAATTTTTTTATTAGATAAAATCCTTTAAAAAGTAATTTCTTACTTAATAAAATTCCTTAAAAGGTAATTCTTTTATTGGCTAAAATTTCTTAAAATTTTGAAAAGGAAAAACGATCTTTGTGTGATACCTTTATTTTAAATTTTAATCACAGTTATAAAAGAATGATTCATGGCAGTGCAAAGAGTAAGCTGAGAAGCTGTGTTCCTTCGTTTGGCGCCCGTTTATAAATTCTGTGATAAAATTTACGCGCAATTATCACTCATTTCCTTCAAAAGCATACACGAATCTTGCGTGCAATCACCACACATCTTTTTAAACTTGGTAAACATAAATGATTAATATCGCCGCTGCGCAATTAATGACTATATATTTTCCTTCGAGTCTCAGCTCGAGTTTTTCTCATTTTTTAATTGAACCTCTATAAATCAATTGCGGCATTTATGTTTCGAACATTTTATATAAGAGCGGTGAACAAGATTTGCAACACGAAACAGGAAAAGATCAACGGAAGAATATTACATGATCGATGTGAAATGTTGTAAACTCGTGTAACACAAAGATCGGGGGATACATTTGTTCTTCTTAAATTAAATATAAAGTGAATATATGTGAAAATTTATAATGCACAATATATGACATCGCAAATGTCAAATATAATCAATTGAAACTCTCTCATATTTAAAGTAAATACGAGATACAATTGCTTATTATTGATTTATTTTTGTCTTGCTATTATTAGCAAGTTAACTGACAGTGCAGCTTACGTTGAGATTCAACAAAAGCAAAAACAGTATTGTATTATCATGCATATATATGATGTGCATCATAATAACATCGAACATAATCCATGGCTAATTTACATCACAGTCAAATGAATCCGTGAGAAGTTGTGCGTAAAATCTTCGACGTAAACCAGCTTCTGTATACATACCTATTATATCATATATATATTGTTTTTCCATTAATTCTCAATTAATCGTGACGAATGCTATTGAAATGAAATTTTAGGCAATATCTCGTAAGAACTGATATGACAGCACCAATTTTATTGGAAGCTCGTAAAGAAAATTCGATAAAACAAACAAAAACATTAATTTCTTAATTATTTATTAATACGAGGATGATTATCTTAATTAAATATACACATTAAATATATCATTGATGCTTACATTATGTGCAGCAATATAATGTCGAATGGAAGAAACGCGTGAACATGAGATGCCTTCGCGAGATGCAAAGATTGCGCAACAAGAAGATAAACGCGAATGGAAACGCGAAATTAGGCGTTAATATGAACTGTCACGCACCGAGACATACATATATGTATGTTGTCAACCAGATCGGGACAAGACAGGACGAAATGATGCTGCACAGGTAGCGAACATGCAAAAAAAATATAGTTATAGCTTTTTATATATAGGTATCCTTATAATGCATCTAAAATTCATGTCTAAATTTTTGCTCTCTATGATAACCAATATTTTTAATTATAATTTAACGGAGAATTTCCTACTAAACTACAGCTTAAAAATATTAATTAGGGATGATAAAATTTAGGTATGGTAATTAATATTTTTTCGTGAATAATTCACATTAAATTTAGTGTTTGATGACTTTAGAATTTGGTTTCTTTTCTTACCGAAGATTAGCGAATTATTACCCTTTACGTGATGCATCGTCGATGTCGGAAGATCAGTAGAGTTCTTTCACTTCTTTTACCCTTAATTATTTCCGATATGACTGACGCTACGCGTCATAGAAATCACTTTGCTATATATCTTCCATGATAACAGAGTGGGGGATCTCGATGTGTCTTAGTATCACCCTATATAAGCTTTGTGATTTCTCGTCTTACTTTGGTAGTTCCCCAATTCGGGCGAACACGTGAAGGAAGCTTGGCAACCCGCAAACTGTAAGTTATATCTTGTTTCACAAAATCGTTTATTAATCCATTAGTTTATTATTAATCTTAAAAATCTAACAAATTTAGATGCATCTGTAAAATTAATGAATATTAAGTAACTGAATTTTAAAAGAAAATATTTCATTAAATATAATTGCTGAGAGAATTTTATAGTTAAATCGATCAATAAAAATTTTAATATATATTTTCTTGTAATACACTCTTCTCATTGCAATTATAAATGAACAAATAAAAGAATTAAAGATATATAAAATTATTCACACATAAACTTGAATGTTTCAATATCCAATTTTTCTTCTAAAAAAGAGAAATACAAATTCTTTTTCTTTGAATTTTAAATTCTCAGCGCATATGCAATTAGACTTTCAAGAAGTCTATGATAGAGAGAAAAGCACAGCCGAGACCATTGGTGCAAACTTTTCCAAAGAAAAATTTTATTGGTAAAATAAATAGGTAATAAAGAAACGTTTGATAGATTGGGTAGAAAATCTTGAAATATTGACAACATGTGTCATCCTAGCTACTTGTAATTTTAAAGGCCGGAGTCGAAGGCTGTGTTTGCATTTATCGCTAATTTGTGACGAGAAATTCTAACTAAAAATCCCTCCTATTAGCATAAAAATCTAAAAATATACAGCAAACAGTTGCAGAGTTCCGCAAAGAATCAAGTCATGTGACTGGGGCGACAATGCGTCGGGGACATCTTTTTTTTTCCTTTGTAACCGGTTGAAACCGCTGTCTCAGTTTATTCGTTTACGTTTACGCAACCGGTTGAAACTGCTTCGAGAATTTCATATCTTTAATATCGCTCGTTGTCAAGGGATGGATAATAATTTGATGAATCATATGTACGCATCCGACAACACTTATGTGGCGCACACATTTCACTCACGTGCTGGGCTCGCTTGTCGTTTCTCCTTTATCTCAAGATTTTGCATTTTTTTTATACTTCCGTCCTGTAAATATCGTTGCAACATTTTTACATCGACCTTTATACCTTCTTTATCGAGAAATGATCCTTGCTCCAGTCGCGATGGCGAGACCGGCATATATTTATGTCGATTAATCGTAGTTTCTCAATAGCCATCGATTATGTATATTAGTAATATTATACATAATTTCTAGATAATATACTTTGCTGTTAATCTATGATAATCGTGCAAAAAATAAAAAAATTTTCAAGCTTTGAATTTATACACTTGCAGAAGAATATGTTCATCCTTGCGCGTATATACACCCATCTTGCCCCTCCAAGTGCAATTCACACAGTTGAAATCATGCACACAGGCGGGTCACTGAAGAGTATATTGGTTCATATTAGTAGGAGGTGGCAGGTAGACTCTCTTTTAACGTTTCAATGCCCAGACACTCATTTCGTCCGCAAGTATCGTGGATCAAGCATCATTAAATGCCATACTTGGTACAGCCATAAGAATTGGTGGAAGAAACGCGACGAGTTAGAATCAAAATCTTGATCTCACGTTTTTCTTTTTTTACGCGGAATTACATCCGAAGTGCATCCTAAGATCTAGGGCGAGAATATCATATATACCCGATATTTGCTCAAATTATTGTCCATGTTGTCGCTAGACAATTTTTGTAAACACAACACGTCACAGAAAGCAAACGTGCTGTATGATGCATTGCTGAGGACCGAGATGTGTTTCACGATCGACCCTAATAATAATTTTTCACGAGATAGTTGAGTGAGAAAAATAAGATTGTGATTGTAATAATTATTATCAAGAATCCAGCATCCACGCAGAAAGAATCATCCGAGGGATTTAAGAAAGCATTCTTCGCATAAAAAAAGAGCAGAATTTTATTAAGAAGAAACGCGTGTCAAAGTAAGTGTCAAAAATACTCGAATCAATCGCGCTTGTCTGTAAAATCGAAATATAAAAACCTTTCATTGAGATTAATATTCATCTCAATATTTAATTTCAAACATGCATTTTTTCAAGATCATTGGCAATGTTAGACCGATTATGACATTTTCAACATTGAAGCTCATAATTATAATTCAAAACGCTTGACCTTTCAGTGAACAACCCTTTAACAAGCGCGCCAATTCGAGCTCTCTTTAGAACGACTCGACCTCGTATCCTCTTCGCGTATCATTAGCATCATCTCTTCAACATTGCATGTAATCTTCCGAATGGCTCTCTCATCGCGAAGACGCGCGTATGAAATTGTTTTATTTGTGTTTTTATCAAGACGGACGTTTGTCCACGGAGAGAATTTTCTCTTAGAGTTTACCCTGAAAATCATAGTAATCGTGGGATAATATGATGTTGGAAGAATTTTATGAGTTTTTTCTCTGATTAATATTTACCACAATAAAAAATATTAATAAGTACATAGTAAATTACAAAATTAATCGAGTATATTTTATATCTTATTGTGGTAAATATTAATCAGAAAAAATATTAATCTTATAAAATTCTTTCAATTCCACATTGTCCCACGATTACCATGATTTTCAGGGTAAATTTTAAGAGAAAATTCTCTCTGTGTACAAGCGTTAACACTTGTCACACGTAAAAATATTTTCAGTACTATATTGCAGGAAATGTACTTCTTGGTTTTGTTTTTGGCAATATAAATACAAGGCATCAAAGTGGAAAAAGTTTTTAAAAAAAAACGAAACCTGTATTATTTAATTAAATTTTTAAATATTCAGAAAAAATTGTAATTAAAAGCTCTACAGATAGATTAAAAGAATGTTTGAATCTTGCCGATTGTTATTTTCTATAAGAATTAAAATATAATTACAATAATTTATCATTTCATAATTAAGAAATAAACAACATCAATATGTCATTTTGATACACAAATATTAATGTTGCTTAAATAATTATGCTTTATCTATACATTTCATTTTTGATTGATACGATGATGTTTTAATGTGAATTACAGAAGATATCTCAAAGTTTCATGAAATATAATTTTAATGATAGGTTTTTAGAAATGGAGTTTTCTTCAATTAAGTATAAAAAAATAAACACTTAAAATTATATAGGTAATTAAAAAAGAAAATTTCTCATAAACTATATATTTTATAAAGAGTCTAATGAATATAAAATATATTCTTTTACTAGGTAATAGCATCTTATTTTGTTTAAATTAAAGATGTGTGATGCAAAAAAATGGAAAGTTGCAATAAAATTTATTTCCTTGATATTTTTAATATGGAAAAAATTAACAAGTTAATCAAGTATTTGTCATTAAAATATTCGATAGATAACTCGTATATACATTTTTGCAATCAAATATAAATTATACATCTCGATTGCGTCGACACATGCCACTTCACTGTCCTTTTAATTATACATGTATATCTTATTGCAATTATTGTAAAAAAAATAATTCCTAGAATTTCTCATGTATTAAATATTAAATAGTTTATTGAAAGATAATTGATTTTAATTTAAAAGTTTTTGGAAAAAAATTTCCGGCTAGAACTTAATAACCAAGTTTACAAATTTAATCGTGACTTTAATGATTATAAATGTAATTGTAACCGATTTTGTATTGCGTCGTAAAGGAAGACGCGTGATGTTCGTTCATTAGCCAGTATTTAATACAGGATGTGGTGTCATTTTACTAGAGTGATGTTAAACCGTGAAACGTCCCCCTCGCAATTATATCATTGAGTTTCTCTCCTTTTCAGAATCAGCAAAATAAACTAGTTAAGCTTCTTAATATAAAGTACTCTCTAAACGATCTATACGATATTACTAAAAAATAAAAATTGTTAAATACGGATGTATTTATTTATAGGATTATATGCACTAAAATAATAACAATCTACAATAATAAATAATATCAATAAATAACATATACATGTATAATTATAAAGATTATGTCTCATGTTCTCTTATTTTGATCAATAGAAACGCTTTTAAATATGCAGTTTATTACATGTTTAAAAGCGTTTTTATCGATAACATGGTTTGAGAATATTAGCCTAAATTACATCATTATCATTAAACTGATATATCATTATCAGCATTTTTATCTGTTACGTACTTGACAGATTATTTCTATGTTGAATACTTGGTAATTTGTTAATTTTAATGTATAGAATTAAAAAAAATTGAACATTAATTTCTATTAAATCTCCGAGCTAAATCGATAATAACCGAGGGTAAATTGTCTCTCGAGTAGTGAAATACCTCCCTTGAGAAACTACCCTTCAATAAGACCGTGTGGCCTAACGGATAAGGCGTCGGACTTCGGATCCGAAGATTGCAGGTTCGAGTCCTGTCACGGTCGAAAATTCTTTTTTGCCCTCACAAAATTTGAGTATCATCGGTACTGCATAATGCGTAATCTATCTTTCAAATCATTCCCCTAGCTGACAGATATATTATGTATATACGACATATTATAACAAATTAATTTTTATCATTCCTCTGATGATATGTGTCAAGATTAAGTATTTTGTTTCTTTAAAATAATTATTTTATTTTATTTTATTGTGTAATATATTATCATAAGCATTTTTAATGTTAATTGACTCAAATTGCATATTGCAATATTTATTCTTTCAACGATAAAATTTACAACATTCGACTTACAACAATTATTTCGTCGATAGCTAATGATTATCATTGAGCGAGAATTAGAACGTAAGAAAGAGAAATAGATATTACGTACAGCAGCTTGTAACGTTGTTCATAATAGAATTGTGGGAACTGGTAATAATTAAAATGATCGCGAAAACACAGTACCAAGTTAAAACGTGTTCGATGTTTTTCCGAGTACTGTATATCAAGGACATCCCCGAAGTACGCTTCCGAGGTGATAATTGCGAATAATATATCCGATGTAACATATTGTTTGATTAGCGTAGAACAAGGAATAATACAAATTATTTTTATTTTTATATTTTTATTTTCAATACAAATTATTTTGTATAATGTGTGGATTTTATATATTTCGTATTTCGAAAAATATTTAAAAAATATAAATTATATTATATTAAAATTACCTACACATATAAATTGTAATATTAAAACATTATTAATATTTAATAAAATAAATTAATATAATATCGTATTATAAACAATTATTTATAGAAAAAAACTGCATAATATTATTTAATGTTGAATGGAATATACATATATCTGACATATATTGTTCTTGAAGAGAGGGAAAAAGGCTATCTCTATATAGAGATGTGCGTGTGGGATGAAGACAACCAATGGTCCCGAGATGTGTGTTAAAAGATCTACGCTAGGTCACTGTTCAGATTGCAAGAGAGAGCTGTTCTATTCCATTATTAATCCAATTACAGACTAATCTCGCTCGCGAATTCGCATTAACGACAACACGCGATAACGCGTTAACATCGCGAAATTATAGGTTCGCACACGGGGAAATGTCGGCCCACTGTGTCGAACTGACGACTATAGTACTTTAGGAACACCAGGTCATTAGATGAATTCGTATAATTTCGTCACAACTTCTCCGAACTCCATGAATGAATCGTCGAGTGACACGTATAGAAGAGAAAAAAAGATAATAAAAAAATCTCGATGCGAATTATATCGCGGAGCGATGCACACGTAAATCGATAAAATGAAATTTTATCGCCCACACCTCAATAAGCTCTACAACAGTTCCTATTCGATCTGTTTTAGTTTACGAGCGAGCGCGAAACCCAGCCCCGCCGACGAGCAGCAGCAGATCAGCGCAGATTCAGCAGGAAGACCTCGCCTGGACTCACTGATCAACATCAGCTACAACAACAGCGGCTTGATATTCGACCAAGTTTCCTGTCGAACGCGAGGGTTCAACATCTGATTTTTTTTTAACCAAGGCAGCTTCACCCACACGTGCCGACATCGTAGAATGGTAGAAGGTGAACCCGACACAAAGCGCAATATTAGTACGTATAACTCTTACAATTTAAATTAAATTAAACTTAAATTTAATTATAAAATTCCTGCTGTGGTTATTCATGTCGATCTCGTCTCACAAATTTCAATTTGAATAATATTTAACACTATTTAATATTATTTTAATTTAATTTTAATTTATTTAATTTTAATATTAATTTTAATTTTAATAACAGAGTGTGATGTAAAAGACGAGCGGCTAAACGGTTGCGGTTCTAAAGACTTCGAACTTGCCCGTAAGTTATATATTCACATCAAAGACCATAAATAAATTTTTCTATTTATAGATATGAGTTTGCGATGTATTAATTAACTCCATTATAGGTATCGGATTAAAAGGCAAAACTCTCGATCCAGAGAAGGGATCCTATGTTCAAGCTGACTTCGAGAAGGCCATCGAACTAAGCGGTGAGTTTATTTCGAGAGATTAAAGAATATATATTATAAAAAACCATTAAAATAATAAAAATCAAAAAAGATATATAAAAGAGCTAGGCACCGAATTTTTTTACTAATTAATATGCTGAGGATGGTCCTAAGAGAAGGACCGAAACGTTCGAAATAAGTATAGAATTTTAAAAAAATGTTATCGTGTTTAGCATCTATGCCTGATTCTTATTAGGGTTTTTCATACTTGAATTCGCGATTAATTATTATCTCTTTGTAGAATATGGCAAGTTTCATTACTTCCTGCTCGCGGTATGCGGCTTCGTCAGCACCAGCGAGGAGATGGACGTGATCTCCATGTCCTTCATCCTGCCGAGTGCGCAATGTGACCTGAAACTTGACACCCAAGCAAAGGGATGGCTCAACTCGATCATCTTCATCGGGATGATGGCCGGGGCGTACGCGTGGGGTTCCGTAGCGGACGCCCTCGGTCGTCGGAAGGTCCTGATCGCCATTTCGTTCATGAACGCCCTGTGCATCGTCGCCTCTAGCTTCAGTCAAACGTACGAACTCTTCATGTTGTTCCGTTTCCTGAACGGCGCGGCGTAAGTATCAAGAACCCCATCCGCGTGTGATCGTCGATGACAAGTCGCCGGCCAGCGAGCACGACGTATAGCTCGATCTGATCACGCAGGCTCTGAAATTCCTCAGCAGCGAAAAGATTTAATAATTTAGTAACGTTCCAGGCTGGGAGGTAGCGGACCGGTCATCTGGTCGTACTTTGCCGAATTTCAGCCAAAGTCCAAACGCGGCTCCATGCTGTCTTTCATGGCCGCGTTCTGGACGCTGGGGAATCTCTTTGTGGCCGGTAAATTTTTTTTGACAATTAATTTATTCTCTCACTCTCACATATATATATGTATATACACCATATATATAGTATATATATATATATATATATATATATATATATATATGAATATTGCTTCGCACTCGCATAGGTTTGGCGTGGTTGATCATCCCTAGAGAGATGGGTTTCACGAGTTTGACGTTCACCTACAACTCTTGGCGAATCTTCCTGCTGATCTGCGCTATTCCGTCGTTCGTCGTGACGGGGTTGCTTCTGTTGCTCCCAGAATCCCCCAAGTATCTCCTGTCCTCCGGAAAGTATGAGGAGGCACTCGAGATCTTTCGCAAGATATATGTCATTAACACCGGCAAACCACATGAGACCTACATGGTAATTAGACTTTGAACCATTTAAGGCCATTTAACGTAATTAAGATGAATAGAAAATCATTTTATAATTTTTCAAAACGCAGGTAAAAGAGCTGATTCTCGATGATTTTCAAGAATCGAATCCGGTGAAGGACGAAGTCGAGGAGAAGAGCAAATGCAAAACCATGCTAGGTGATATCGTGGAGAACAGCAGACAGCTATTTATAACGCCTATTCTTCGCTTTACCATAATATCGATCGTTATCAATTTCACCTTTCACATCGGTTATTACGGTCTCATGATGTGGTTCCCGGAACTGTTCAATCGTTTCGACGAATTCCATCGTGATCAGCCGGGGATGGTGGCCTCGATATGCCAGGTCACCGATTACGTCGTTAATAAGGGTTCGCATAGCATCGAGAATGTCTGCACCGATAAAATCGGTGCGTCCGTCTTTATGGAATCCCTTATCACGGTGGCATCCGCTATACCTGCCAACATCATCGCCGTCCTGGGGATGGATCGTCTGGGGCGTAAATTTTTTCTAGGTATATTCTACAGCTGTAAAAAATATAAGCAATAAAAATATTTTATATATTTATTATATATTTAATTATAATATATAAAATATATTAATATACATAATTTATATAAAATATATATTTTATATATTATATTTTTATTATATATTTATTATTATTTATATCATGATATTTCTTATCGAGTATTTTTGTAAATAATTGTTTTAGATAAAAAACGTGTACATTTAAGTCTTATGCTTCTTTGCAGTGTTCAGCACATTCTCATCAGGGCTGTGCTCAATCGGTTTGTATTTCGTGTCCAACAAGTATCAGAATTTGACGGTGTCGGCTATCTTTAGCGGGGCGATAAGTTGCGGTAACGCGGCTCTGGATTGTCTCATCACCGAGGTATTCCCTACGCAGTTGCGTGCAACCGGAATCGCGATATCAATGGTTGCCGCCCGCCTTGGCGGGATAATTGGTAATATAGTTATAGCCCAGCTCTTGGACATGTATTGTCCGGCACCGACCTTCATAGTGGCCGCTCTCCTGATTGGTAAGCACGTCTACAATTCTTTGCATTCATTACTTTTACATCTTTAATTTTTATTTTTTAATTTTGTTTTTCGATTCTATATGTATTCTTTTTTTGCAGGAGGAGGCTTACTATGTTTATTCCTACCAAACACAACGCGCGAACCACTTTCCTGACCCTAACAGAAGTCCATCCACATCGATCTACAATCATTTATGCATTTTTTTCAAGTACAAGTGTCGCGTTTAAATTTTATGGAAGCCTGGCGATTAAATTACAACATTGTTAAGTAAAATTTAAAGTTTGAAAATATCTCCATTTTGTAAGAAAAGTCTAAAGAATCTCTATTGTTTATAATTATCCTTATTAGATAAAAAAAAGATTTGTAAGCCACACACACACAAATACACAAAACACACATATTACAGTGGAGTAGTAAAGAAAATATGAATGTAGCATCTAAGATGCTAATCAGTACGAGAGATGTAACACAATTAGATACTTTAGTAGAATTTTCTATATATATAGTATATATATATATATATGATATTATAATCACACAGAATTTATAGTAAAGTAATTAAAATATGAATTAAATATATATATATAATAAACAAATATATCGTATAAATCTTTGTGTCCCTATTGAAAATAACTTATAATATAAATATTCAGTGTAAACGATATACATTTATCACTTATTAAATATTTATATTATAAATTATATTTGCGTCAAACAAAACTTGATATATTAAACGTACTATTAAAATAAATAAATAAATAAATAAAAATAAAGCATAAGAGAAAATTTAAAGATATCTTTGATATGCTTTATATATATATATACTTTTTTTCCTATATCATTACTGAAAACTATAGCAGCTACATACATACAGTACAATCCATGTTGAGGATGTTGATTTTTAGAATAGGAAGTAAATAAAAAAACGAAGTATGAAGTAACATCTTCATTTTTTCTGATACATTTAACGTGTCCACATAAAGTATGAAATTATTCCCTCATCATTTTCTCCTTTTGTCTAGCAAGCTTTTTCTTGCTAAGTTTCTTTTTTGATGGCTCCTCTTCTGTGGCTTTCGCAACAACATCTTCCTTTTCAGTCAATATTACTTCAATATGACAAGGTGAGCTCATGTAAGCTATAAAAATATCACAAATCATGAAAATAATATGAATTTGTGTGAAATAAATTTTTGAAGAATCAGATTCTTTTATATATAATGCACTTACGATTTATACGACCATGAGCTCTGTATGTCCTTCTGCGAAGGCAAGGAGCATGATTAACCTGAATATGCTCAACTACAAGACGATCCACATCGAGTCCCTTATAATCTGCATTGCTTTCTGCATTTTTCAGAAGTTGCAGCAGAAACTCTGCAGACTTCTTGGGCCAACGACCTAAAATAATGACAAAATTGCTATAAATAAATATATTTTGAAATTATGTATTACAAAGGCTCTGATATATAAAAAATTAAGTGTGAAAAGAACTAATAACAGTCAGGTACAAATATTTAGGCTCCACAAACTTGTTTTCAAGTTTCTCTCCAATTATTTTGGATAAACATAATCATTTTTATTCTTCAATTTATCTCTATTTTGTTCATCTATCATTTTTATTTTGGTTTATTTATTATCATTTATTCATTATATATTTATTATTTATTATAAAATAATTAGAAAATAATTTAAGAACAAGTTTGCTGTACCTGGTTCTTATTAAATCCTTTCTATACCAATTTTTGTAAATATATTTTAGTTTAAGATTAAACTAGCTCTCAAGCATTTAATCTTACATGTTAATTTAATAATGTTATATGCAGAAACTATACATGCCTTGCGTAGTGCCAAATTGTTTGGCTTGGGCACACCTGCCAACACCACCATTGAACCTACGAAAAGGAACACACTCCTTATGCTCGATGACGTTCTTCAAGTATTTCTGCGCCCTCCGCAGAGCCATAGTTTTAATAGCACGTGCAGTCTCATGAGTGTTCTGTAACGATGGAAAAATACAGACTGTAAACATCAAAATCTTTTATTTTTTAGTTTTATAAGGTGCTCCCAAACTCATACAGGGACTGTACATCAAAATAACAATATAAACTAAAGAAAAATAAAATAAAATAAACATCAAAATCTCTCAAAGGTTATGTTTCTTTGATAGAGAGCAAACATTTACCTTGAAATGCACGCGAAGATTGGAGCCGCGCGCCTTGCAGGACTTGGTCTGGTTGACCGGTTCGTGGGAATAACGACCCATTGCGTCCTGAAATCACAGATAAAGATCGATCACAATGCTGTCTTCCTGAAATACGACGGTCACGTCACGCCGTATTTCTCTCGCGATTTTCGCGCTTGTCGCAAACGGACGCGACATATTTCGCGTCCAAATCGCAGCTCGGGATTTTTCATTCGAAAAACGATCTCTTCCAGGATGCGGATTTCAACGCTGAGCCAGATGCCAACAGATTCGAAAAACGTGACATCGTAAGGCGATACGTACCTCTTTACGCCACGATTTTTAAGGGAAGGTTCGCGATCCGAAAGTCGGCGACTTCCTATCTTCCAGGAGCGCCAACTGAAAATGATGCATTTCTCAAGTTGGTACTCTACAATCGCAATCGTCGATTATCGATTATTATCGAGTCGAATCGAATGAGGTCGATGTCGACATGACATGACCAATCAGGACGATGACAAACAAAGATATTTATGTGTTTGTAATTATTGGTAAGTGATAGTATTTGATTAATTAGTAAGTTAGTTATGTAATATAAATATGAACGCATACATATATAAATTGATTTTTTCTTATTTGATATTTGACATTTTCTCAGTTTGACATTTGACATTTGACGTTACGAGAGAGAGAGAACAGATGCTCGCATTATTTAGATTAATTAATTTTTCAAAATTAATTCTGGCAGCTTTTAAAGGTAAGATAAGATGCAAGAAAGTGATCTTATATTTGTAGATAAATTTAAAATATATTTGGTCGCATTTGCGATTTACAAAAGTTTCAAATCTACAAATGTTTACATATTTATATACTGATATCAATTATATTATTATATACATATATATATTATTCTTTTATTTCAGAATTTTAACTGAAAGGATCAGGCACATTCTATCCATAAAATGCTCCGGAATAATAAAATAGTAGTGTTATGTAAAGGATTGTCTGAAATAAGTGACAAACAGGAATTGTATATAAAGTCGTTGGAATTTGCTGGTTACACTTGCGAATGTTTACAAACTTTGCAATTCGAATTTGTGAATATTTCAGAATTGCGAGCATACCTGTCAACAGCTGATAAATATAGTGGTATTACATATTATTAGTTGTATATATATTATCTTTGGTTATATCATTACCAATTTTATATATTTCTATATTTATTTATATTTCAGGTCTAATATTAACTAGTCCTCGTGTAATTGAAGCTATTTCACTGGCGGCAAAAGAAGATCCAAATATTCTACATCATTGGCAACAGACACCGGCATATTGTGTAGGACCTGCAACTGATTCTCTCGCGAGAAATCGACTTAACTTACAGTATTGCATTGGTAGCGAGTCTGGTAATTCAAAGAAGCTGGCTGAAAGAATTATTCTTGATATAAAAAAGGTACAAAACCATTGTTGTATCCATGTAGCGAGATTGCACGAGAAACTGTGGCGTGCATGCTTAACGATAATGAAATTACAATACAAAAGATTGTGGTCTACAGAACATTAGCAAGTGAGTTGTTAGAGCAAGATTTATCAAAAGTACTTGAAAAATCTCCCAGCATATTTGTTTTTTTCAGTCCATCCACAGTAGAATACATTACAACAGAACTTAAAAGAAATTCTTATAATATAAAAAATATAAAAGCAGTAGCGATAGGTCCTGTGACAAAACAAGCATTAATTAATTCTGGTTTCGATGTTTATACTACTGCGAATAAACCAGAACCAGAAGCTTTGATGCATGCTATCACGACTGCTGAATGTATGGAAAATTTAACTGAAAATCTCTGATGATATATATATAATATAATATTTATTTATTTGTTAATAATCTTAATATATCGAATATATCTTTTTTTCTATACATCATTGTCCATTTATATAAACAATAGAACAGATGCAGATAGACGGATAGAACTTTTTAAAATCGTCAAAAATTATTTTACATCTAATTAAAAATTCAATATCTGTTACGATTTACAACATTACCAAGAAGGCACGAAATATCCGAACCAACTATCGCGGATTGATTCGCGTAATAAGGCTGAGGAGCATTTCCTCCGTTATTGTATTTCATTTGAACCGCCGTTTCGTAATCGGGCGCTGGTCTGTACGATGGTAATAATGCACGTAAAGTATTTATATCCGTTGACGAAACAGATACGACAGGATACGGCGATGTCGAGAGATCGTTGTAACTCGTCCACCGCATGTAACTGTCCGTAGTCCTGTTATCCAGATTCACGGACGCTGTTTGTTCACTCGAATCGTTCGTATCATTTTCCTGAAGAGATATATCGTTTTTAATCATATGATTAAAGTGATACATTGTATAGACAAATGGCCAATTACGCACGAAGTAGCTATTGGATCTTTCCAAAGGACGATGCTCCTGGCAATACATGTAAAATGTGTGCTGAGCTATGCATAATCTCCATATATATTTCGCGTTACGCGGTTCAGTAAATACAAATTGCTTCGCTTCCTCACCCTCCAATTGGCATTCTATTCTAAACGTTTTCTTATGATTTATGACATTACTAATGTCGCTCCATCTGCAAAATATAAAATGCATTTAACGTTGTAACATTTTCAACATGTATCCACAAAGCCACACACACAACACACACACACACACACACACATATATATATATATATATATATATATATATATATATAGAGGAAGTAAATTAACCTATAAAATTGTGTTGTTTCTGCAGTAGGTTGTGCATTAGGTTGCGTACTAGGATATGCCACCATAATCCCATCGATAGAAATTCCAAGAATAACTTTAGTGTTACTGTTATCCTGAAATATATACACTTTTTGTAGTTATTTGAAACAACAAAAACTAGAATAATTGAGGGAAAATATGAAGTATTTTTACTTTGGCAATAAATGTTTCATTGCCATATCCTTCCACCTGCATCACAATTGAGATATACAGCTCCTCTGCGGTAGCTTGTGTAAGATCGGTTAGACTCTTGTACTGACATATCACTGTATGTAAGAGAGAGTCTTGTCCACCTGAGTCAATCTTACTCATCTCCTGAACATAAAAATACAGTATGTCAAGTATATGAAATTGTGCTGGGAATAAACTCTTCAGCCATGAAAATTGAATGTTACATTTGGAAAGAAAGTGCAGTGCTGGAGACACTCGACTGTATGTCTCTCGGGACTATAATTTCCAAACTCAGCTTGCATAGAATAGCTTGCTAATAAACAAGCTTGTCTAGGAGTACAATGTATTCTGTCTTCTAATACATCACTCTTCAATTGAAGATAATAATGATATCTAAAAAAGAAAGAAAAGGAAGAGAATTATTTAAAATTATACTTATTTATAGATTTATCTCGTTTAGAGAGCCGATAAATACCTTGTCATATCATCTTGAATATATTGCACATCAGAGACATAATACATGACTCTTAAGTAAAGCGTAAAGTTCTTGGCATCCTTTTCAAGCTGCCTTTTTAAAGGTTTATCCATGTCCACCCAGCGCAATGCTGGGCTGCCATGACAGTAAACATAACGTAAGCCAAAAAACTCTGGTTGTCCTAATCCTAAACGCTGTGTCACGTTGTTCAGGCATTCTTGACCAACACTGTCAATACTGAGGGTACATTCGATAGAAGTAGCGTCTAACAATTCAACACAAATCACATACTGATTCTTGGACACAACATTGTATTGTCTGCTCTTTTTTAGATGAAACTTAAATGGCATGTTTACAGTTGCAAAATAACTGAAAGATAAATAAATACATATTGTAACGAGCGATTTAAGATCAAGAAGCTTAAAATAAGTGTAATAAAATGCCAAATGGAGGTTAAGACAAATTTTGATATTTATATATTAAATGTTACTATATATTATATAACGAAAAACAGCTATATAGGCTTCAATTATAGTGTAATATCATAAGACTAAATTAATAATGTAATAATTGTTAAAAAGTAACAGTAACAAGAAATTTCTAGCGAAGTCTAATGTTGTACATATATATATATACACAACTCACCCAGTGTCTTAAAATATCACATACACTCATCACTTTCCTGTGTAAGTATTAGGTATACCTAATATATTCGAGCGTCATATATATATATAAGATAAACATAGTATTTGACAGCTTTGTTTGACACTTTGTTATTTGTCAATACCAGTTCGCGGACATGGAATTTTCCTTTCGAGCTACAAAATTGAAATATTTTTTTCACGTAGGTCCACAACTTTGTAATGCGATATCACTATTTATTATTTCATTTTTCATTATTAATGAAAAAAGAGCATTATCTGCTTTTCTCATCTATGTCAATATGTATGCGTACGTTCTCTCATTCATTCCGTATAAACACTGAACATCGTGAGAAAGCTTGTCGAGTGAACGAGTATCAGTGCCGAGATATCGAGAAATTGAGAGAAAGGTATATATCGATACTCTCCCTCTCTCTCTCTCTCTCTCTCTCTCTCTCTCTCTCTCTCTCTCTTTGTCGGAGTAATGTCAGCTAATGTCAGTGACCATCGTGCGACACAGCTGGCGATGACAATTATTGCGCGTGTCGATCTGACAATTCGCTATCAATAATGAGAAAGACGGATATCTCCCATACCCGCCTACCGAATGCCGATAAGAGACAGTGAATCCGCGAACGGAGACTCTCCCCAGCCTCGTGTCACATGTTCCTGCATGTTCTTCGCGCGCAAGGAAAATGAGTATTTTGCGAAAGAGGTAAGGCATCGCGAAACAGATTTAAAAAGTCCGTATTTTCTCAGCAAAAAGGAAATATATATTTTGCAGATTGAGCGAATTCGACGATGTTCTTAACGCAGACGAAATAGACACCGTCAATCTTAGTAAAATATGCTTCCATGGTATGTATGATTAGGGATAGGTACTTTATGCTTTGAGCATAATAGTATAATGTGTCAAAAATTGTTTTTAACCATTAATTTTAATAGTTATGCATAGTACACACTTAATATTAATATTAATATTAAAATAATTTTTGACACATTATGCTATTATGCTCAAAGCATAAATCCCTACGTATGATTTCAATCTGTTTGTTGTCACATATTTGATATGCGAGTTTTCTCTAATAATCTGATTTTTTGAAATCCAATTGTAGGTATACCTGACGAACCTGGTGGTCTGAGGCCTCTGTGTTGGAAGCTACTGCTGAATTATTTGCCATCGAAGAGGTCCAGTTGGCTGGAGACTCTCAAGCGCAAGAGAGAGTTGTATGACACTTTTATTGGTGAGGAAGAGAAATATGATACTTGCATAAAAATAATTTGTAATGGAACTTTTATACATTTCATATTTATCATTGCAGAAGATCTCATTGTTATGCCGGGAGAATCTAATGCGGATGACAAAGAAAGAGTCGATGTGACGTTACACGATCATCCTCTCAACTTAAATCCGGATAGTAAATGGCAAATGTACTTTAAGGATAATGAAGTTCTCCTCCAGATCGATAAAGATGTTAGGTGAATATTGAGTCATATGACTATGAGTGTATAAAAAGCAGTTCTGTTAAAAAAATTAATGTTAAATTATATTTTTTTACAGACGACTATGTCCAGACATATCATTTTTTCAACAAGGCACTGATTATCCATGTCAGAAAATAGTCAGTGCTAATGGCCAGCAACGTTTACATAATAGAGTTCAACACACTGTACTGAAAAGCGCAAACGTTGAGAGAAAAGGATTAGGAGTGACCAAGGTAACAAACTATGAACAATTAAAGTTTCCATCGCCGACTTTTTATTAAATTTATTAATAGACTCTACTTTTGCTTACCTTTACATTAATGAATGGAAAACAGCAGGTATTATAAATGGAGTATAATATATTCTACTAAAATATATTCTCAGAAAAAAATAGCAGTCTCAGAAAAAAAGCTTTTTTATTATATTTTTGTACACGTTGTATACAGAGTATATCAATGAGGTAGTTCCATAACATTCTGCAAATATGGCTGTGTTATCATACTACATTATACTTTATCTATTAGATAGCGGTCTCGGTTAGAAAGGCTGCGGAAGATTACGCGCCATTGGCTGAAGGCGGTGAAGCGCATTGGGAAGTTTTAGAGAGAATACTCTTTTTATACGCCAAGTTGAATCCTGGTCAAGGTTACGTGCAGGGTATGAATGAAATAGTCGGACCTATATATCACGCATTTGCTTGTGATCCAGATCCAACATGGAGAAGTATGTATATCAACAACAAAAACATTGCCTAAATGGTCTGAAACAACATTTGCTGATGATAACGAGTACTTTTCGTTTTACAGAACACGCCGAAGCAGACACTTTCTTCTGTTTTACCAATCTAATGGCTGAAATACGTGATTTTTTTATAAAGACATTGGATGAAGCTGAATTTGGAATTAATTCAATGATGAGTAAATTGACAAATCAAGTTAGAGCTAATGATCCTGACGTTTGGCTGCGTCTGCATCAACAGGAATTGTGTCCGCAATATTACAGCTTTAGGTATTATATATTGATGATTTTATCTTATTTACTCACTTTTATTTTATTAATCTTATTGTGTTATTATTTTTCTGTTTGGAACTAGATGGTTGACGCTTCTTCTTTCGCAAGAATTTCCTCTTCCGGATGTTATAAGGATATGGGATTCCTTGTTTGCTGATGAGAATAGATTCAGTTTCCTTATACATATCTGCTGTGCCATGATTCTGTGAGTACAAAAATTTGTATCGTGTCTATAACAATAATTTTTGTCTTTAATATGCATATTTATTTAAAAAAATTTTTGTTTCAGATTATTAAGGGACCAGTTGCTGGTTGGCGATTTTGCTACGAATGTTAAACTCCTACAGGTAAGAAAGGTGTATATATATATATATATATATGCATTTTTAAATATATTATATAGGATAATTCTATATTGTATAGGATAATCTGTAAAAAAATAATATATTCTATATATTTAGAATTTTCCATCGATGGACATCCAAATCGTGCTCTCTAAAGCGGCTGCTTTGGCGGGCAAGACTTTATAGTTTTTGTAATAATTATTTTTCTTGATTAAGTCGTAAATGAGCTGCAGTGATTTTTCGGCATGTCGAATATTGTGATCTTTGCCTCTCCTCTTTCTGTGCTGTCCGCGATATATCGTAAAGTACACATAAATTTATACATTATCATAAATTAATCTAGAGGAGAGGTGCAATCAAAATATCAATTGAGATATAACATAATCATGTATATATAAAGCTTACCGGTAGCTTGATAAAAGATATAATTTGGCATTTATGTTATATGAAATAGTTAACACAACTGTATATATGGCACACGCTCAACGAATATTGAGATTTACAAAAAAGCAGCATTTTTAGTGCCACATGTCAAACTTTTGATACATTTAAAATGATGGTTTTGTACATACATCACGTTATACATTAGCGAGTAAAAAGATGGCTGAAGACTTCGAAAGATAAATTTATACAATCAATAATGTATAATCATTTCGTAAACGGTAGGTAATAATAAGTAATTATAAGTAGTGGATTAAGTCAAAGAGGGAATCTGATTTATGAGATTTTCTCGATTGTCCGACTTGACATGAATTTTGCAATAATCGTATCACAAGTATAGTAGATTAGTATCATTTGTACGCGCCATAATATTAAATTACACAGTACATTTAAGCGCGAAGATATATATATATATATATATTAAATTTTATAATCTTATTTTTATAATAAAAAATGCATCGTCTTCGAATCCCGTTTATAAAATAAATGGAAATGTTATTAGTTTTCCTCTGAACATGTGTCGGGACATGTTTCTTCCACCATATTCCGTCCTATACGTATCTCTCCGCAATTAAATTACTGTGCAAATAATCGGCGACACTCGGACATCCTAGAAGGATATAGGAAATCAAATATGCGATATTCTTCATTTTACTCGCAGCGCGCGCTTGATCATTATTGGATTAATAAAGCTGCCGCGCGCGTTCCCGAGCAGAATAAACCGAATTTCTGGATTTTATTTCATCTCGTCTCACTTTGCACAGAGTAGAATGATTGACCCGAACGACGGCGGGAATATTAATCAGGAAACGTTTCAGTTATTCATGCGTCGAAGCCGCTCGGGCACATTTCTATCGCGGTAATGCAATAGAGACGTACGCTGAAATTGTTATCAAAAAATGACACGGGAAAAAAATTAGCTACTATAGCTAAATTTTAGCTGTCCTTATATTACACACTAAAAAATTGTCAAATCTTTCACCAAAATATTATTTTGTTAATTGAACGTATAAAAATATTTAAATTAAATATAGCATATTAAAACTAACAAAACGTATATTTCACTTAAATATTAATATATAATCAATTAACAAAATAGTAATTTAGTTGAAAGGTTTAGTCAAGTTAATAAATTTTTTTTAGTGCACATGAAATTTAGTTATCATGCCTAAATTTCAGCTATGATAGTTAATATTTTTTAGCTATACACGGAGATAATTTTCTCTTAGAATTTACTCTGAAAATCATAGTAATCGTGAAGCAATATGATATTGGAAGAATTTTTTAAGAGTTTCTCTGATTAATATCTATTACAATAAAAAATATTAATATGTACACATAGTAAAATTAATCGAACATATTTTATATTTTATTGTAGTAGATATTAATATTTTCATTTGTGATAAATATTAATCAGAGAAACTCTTATCCACAATTACCATGATTTTCAGGGTAAATTCTAAGAAAATTCTCTCTGTGTAGTATTCCCCTTTTAACTATAGCTAAAAAATATTAGTTACCATAGCCAAAATTTAGACACGATAATTAAATTTCAAATTGCAATATAGAGACAGCTAAAATTTAGTCACGGTGGTTAATTTTTTTTCGGTGGCTGGAAAAAAAATTAGTCACCATAGATAAATTTTAGCTATCTCTATATTACAACTTGAAATTTAATTATTTATCATACTTAAATTTTAACTATAATAACTTATATTTTTTTAGCTATAGCTTAACGGAGAATTCTATAGCTAAAAATATTAGCTGTCATAGCTAAAATTTAGACATGATAACTAAATTTCATATGTAATATAGCATAACTAAGAGTTGTGGCAACTAATTTTTTTTTCGTGTACTGAAAAAAATTAGAGATATACATATAATTAAGAGAGAACTCCATATCCTATTTATATAGCGAAATTAAAAATATATTGAAATCAAAAATAGCGGTAAATAATATTTCTGCATATAAATAGCGTAGAAAATTAAACAAGAGCCAGCTGATCTCCTTCGTCATTGACGTATTTTGTTCGGGGCAAATTCGCAGGACCCATACACAGAGAATCATTAATAAAAATATTTAAAATATAATTAATAAAATATGTTCGAATTATTTTACTATGTACATAGTAAAATTTACTATGTACATTATAATAATTCTGATTAATATATTAATCAGAAAGAAACTCTTATAAAATTCTTCGAATACCATATTGTTCCACGATTACCACATGATTTTCAGGGTAAATTCTAAAAGAAAATTCTCTCCATGTAATTGTCACAGGCCTCTGCGTGGCGAATCACTGTCGTATCCCGAGATTTCGAGGACACACCCGGGCTTAAAAAGTGCAAGGTCCCAAGAAAAAAATACACGCCCGCTCGGGTGGGTGGACTTTTATAGCGGTTGATTGCCTGATTTATAATCTCAATTCGTGTCCGAGGCGCGGCGAATATTTTTTTTTCACTCGAGTCTAACTTACTGGGTACTTTTTTAGCGAAAATCCGAAATCAAATGTATATCTTTGTGCGCTAATATCTCTGTTTAGTTTTTTTCTTCGGGGTAAGCACGAGTGTGTGCGACGACAAGTCAAGCGCCAGGCCGTAATAATGACCTGTCGGCAATCAGGATTTAATGAAGAATAAGAGGGTCGTATCTCCGGGAGCCCCCGCGGGTTCTAAAAACTGTACAGAAATTAGACGCATACAGTAGACTATCTATCTGCCTACCGTAACACGCCCCTGTCGTTAGGGTCGAAGCTCGAAATTTATCTCGGCCATCTCTCCCTCTTTGCCGCCGCTTTTCGTCTAATCAGAGATCGCGAATTTTATGATCGTTGATGCGATCGTTAAAAGATCACTGCCGAGACGACTTCCCATAGCCAGGGATTCATCAGACTCTACATATCGCCCGAGGACTCCAATTTTTTTTGTTAAAAAAATTGCGGTATCTTTTGTCCGTGAAGAGAGAGACATTGTAAGAGAGAAATCAAGTCTTGACGATTTTCGCTGATTACGTCCTATTCTGTCTGCGAGGAAAAAAGTAATTAGGAAAATATTTTCCATATTTTCCATATTAATATATATAATCCACAATATTTCCCAGACAGCAATATATTCAAAATCGAAACATAAGACATCTTTAAGACATCTTAAAAACGTCTTATGACCTGATTTTGGACATGTTTCGATTTTGCTGTCTGGGTTATTATTTGTAATAAATTTTATTTTTAATATAAAAAATGAAGGATTAATTGTTTGCGAAATTCTGCGCGAAGGGGAAAAATACTAAAAATACTTGCTACGCGTGAGATTTGATTTCTGTCGAATTCGACATGGGTTTACCAGATATTTCCCACGTCAGCCCGGAGGAGGTGACATACGAAGCCACGAAGTTGACGAATGTGCCAAGATCGGTCGGGGATGACTTGGCGGATTGTACGCCAAGCATTCCCAGCGGTGGTCCCTGCACACGGGCTCGGATTGATGGATCTTGACCTCTCAAAGGAGTGCTTCGGCACGCCTTTCGAGACATGATAGATTCGTGCGCGACCTAATACGGACTTGGGAATCTCGCGAAAGGATACCGATCGACCCTATTGTGTATCTCTCTCTTTCGTTTTTCGAAACATTACAAACTATCGACTTTTCTACGATTTTTCTGATAAGCTTCAAGTTTAATCTCTTCTATCAATGCATACCTTTTCACCTTTATGAATATATATTAGCTATCACATAGCTAAATTTTAGCTGATATTACAACCTGCAATTTAATTATCATGCCTAAATTTTAACTATGATAACTAATATTTTTAGCTATAGTTTAATGGAGAAATTCGGAATTTAAAATTATGTACGTATAATAAAAATTCAGGAATTAAAATTATTTATTAGTTAAAATTTAGGCATGTTAATTCAATTTCTTTATATTGTATAAGGACAGATAAAATTTTGTTATAAGCTAATCTTTTTTGTGATGGGTACCTGGATATTAACTGCATTTAACACATCAATTGTTCATTGTGACATCATTTGACATATGTCAGCTGTTTTTGACAGATTGATTTGCGACAATTTTTCTGCGTTATATTTTAAAAGGTTTCCAAATGAAAAGGCTCTTTCGCGCGGAGAAAAGTTCTGAAATTTTCCAAATATCTTCGAGTACCCGGTATCATTCATTGACAGAAGGGTTAAATAATTTTTGCACGTTGCAAAAAAATTTCTATTTTATGACGATGGTTCGTGTCTCTATCAAACTCTTTTTAAATCCAATTGCGAGGCGATATAAAGATGCTATATCAAGGGGGTGAAGAGGAGGGGTGCGATACACACATGCACAGAAATGTTTACAGTTAATTCACCGTGCTGTGCCACGTGACGTGCTATCTCCTATTCGTTGGTGGTCCAAGGTATCAAGGATCTCAATCGTTTATCTGTGTCGGTGGATACAGTCGGCGTTCGCGTCGTCTCTAACTGTCATTTCGTGCATTGTACGCGGATCTTATACCTCTCTCGCGCGGGAGAAGACGCGTCACGACGTTACAAGTCGATTTTATATCGCCGCATACGTCGTCCCATTACATAATAACACGCTGCTATCCGCCGAGAGCCAAGAGATCCGTAGATTATCGGTATTCGATCGATAGACGCCGACAACCTTCGGGGAGGACCCTTTGGTCTCGCCGCCATTCATCCCTCCTCTCATGTGTACGTATATACGAATCTCATTTCCGTTCGCGAATGTCCGGTGATGCGACACAGATATTGATAGAGGGAAATATACGCGTCTCTAATCAAAAGTCTTTCGCGAATTTTAATGACGTATATGGGGATGCGGCAGAATTTATACCATGGCTCTCTCTCTCTCAGAGAAAATTCAATGAGAGACTATCCTTTTCTCAAACGGAACGCATATCGAGAAATAACGAAATCCTTATCCCCTGCTCCCGTTACGAGCCACCCTAGAGTTTAGCGATCTCTAATGAACTGCTAGCCCGTTAGTTAGTTCAGTCTCTCTCTCTCTCTCTCTGTCTCTGTCTCTCTTCTATCACTATATGTACGTTGCGTGTGGTCGTACAGTAGCAGATATATAGTGTATGTATACCCACCACGTATACGTCAATTCAATCCTGCGCGGATGCAGAGAGAGAGAAAGAGAGAGAGAGAAGGGCTTTGAAATGCGGAACGCGCGGTACGTACA